CTGTCATTATTATTATTATTTCACTAATTTCTATTCGTTATTGTTCTCCTTTTTCTTATATACACTTTACAATCTCTATCCTTCCACATTCTTATTGTTATTGTATGGCGCATATATATTTGAGATCTCTTTGTACCAATATTTATATGTTCAAATATATAAAATTAATACTGACTGAATTCTATTAACAAAGTTGCAATATCTCGTCTATTTTAAATAACTCAATATCAAGATTTTAAGTAGTTGAAAGTAGTCGGCATTATTTATCACTTTTTATTTCAATTAAATAGAACCAAGAAGATCAATGAATTTATTTCTAATTACTTCAAGTTAAAGTTGGAAAAAGAAGACAATTTTAGAAACTTCAATCAAAATGATTCGAAGTGAATGGTAGTAATTCAAATTCAATTGATTTCTTGTGTTTTTATCGGTCATAATTTTTGATGCTTAATTGATCATACTTATATTCATTTTTATCGATTTAATTCATTAGCATTTAGCCTACAATTAACTGAACTATTGTATAATACATGTATTCTTTGTGACGATATAAACATTATGGAATTAAATGTAAACTATTCTTTCCGTTCTATCAATGTTTTGGTTTGATTGGTTGTTAGCGCTTTTAGTTTACTAGCTTTCTTATGCGCCTTTAAGTTATTGCATGCTACTATGTGAAAAGAGTTGTTACTTTTTTAGTTTTTTGACTTCCGTACAGGACATAAAGTTATCCTATCTCCTATGCTCCACTACGAGGGGTAACAATAGTAAGTAAGTAAGTATCTCTATTAGCGTGCGGATTACTAACTTTAAAATGTTGTTGTGTGACAGACACTCGGTCTATTTAAGTTTCTATAGATTGTATTGTAACTTAAGAAACCTAAATACATTAATCCTTTTTTTTTTAATGTATAACACTTCCGCAATGGAATTCAAGATTCTTCCAGCACTTTGTTTGGTTTAGAATAATATCCATGAGTTCATTACATTTTCTGCTTACATACTATATAGATATTGTTAGTGTAGATTTGTTGGTCTCAAGAACTACTCTTCCCAGAATTAACGGCAGTAATTCTGTCAAGTTTTAATGCTCCCGTGTTCATCATCTTAATTAACAATATGTTCTTTTTCTCATCAATATTAACCGACCATTTGAAATGCAACTGTTAATCTTCGGGTAGTCACTAAAATATCCATTCAAATACAAACCATTTATCACTTAGAGCTACCAATCCATAATAGTTAACACTTTCTATCATTGCTAGTCCTTGCTCAATCTTATTCTGTGTACATTTTGTTTATGATATCTACTTTGTAAATTAGCGAGTAATTGTATGCATTCATTTTTCTCTTAGTTCTTACAGTCACTTTATTTCAGAATATTATTGCTAAACTATTAGTATTTCTCATAATCTTAAGCGCTGTGTCACATAATAGTCCATTTTCTTAAATCACGAACTGATCATAGTTAGACCAACATTGAAAACTTGGAAGCACTAAACGTTCGTTTCGTCGTCCTACTATGGGTTGCCTCAGTAGCACACATCCGCTGTGGAATTCAATAATTTACCCACCATTTATTCGGTAATTTATTATGTACATTCAAATTAACTATCTACGCACTTCCCATTTTTGCTTAAAATTCTGTAACATTTTAATTTCAGTACACTTATTTCTCTCACATGTATTGACCTATTTTGAAAGGCAAAATAAATGATTACCTTATCATGCTATTTGTTATACGCTTATGGTTATACTATCAATTATCTTTTACTTCTAATTTATTATAACAACAGAAGATACCGATTACGTCATTGAGCAAAATAAAAACAGTCCAATGAAGAAAATGTTCTGTTCAATGATATCTTTTACTAAAGCTACATAGTAATAATGATTTTAAAAAACGTATTTATCAATTGTTCTGTTGTTGAACATCCGGTTAATAACAATCGTTCATGTCCATCAGAGTATTCACTCAAAACTGCTCATAACGGAGGATTTTACAGCCTGTCAATTTAAGTTTGATCCTTTTGTTCAGAAGTGATGCATTCAATCTCTTCTGTAACCGTGGTCCTAACAATCTCTTAAATTGCTTTTGATATGTGTTCATCTTTTTTATATCTTTTTGTTCCTTATATAAGTAGTCTTCATATCCTCTCCCTTTAACTGTTACTGAACTCTTAGGCCTTTTTTAAACTAATTTTGGGTACTTTTGTTACTAACCTAGCACATCTCTACCATATATCAAAACAACTATAAACATGATTGTACAGGTTTATTAAATTACATTATCTAAAACAGAATTCATTATAACTTGTTGTGTAATTGATATGATATAATTGTTATTGTTGTACAATTTACATTGATTAGTTGTATCTTTTTCACGTAGGCATATAAATATCAGTTAGTGTATAATATACTGTAAACATTTTTGGAATCCACTCATAGACCTATTCTCTTCAGATGATCATTTATGATATATTCAATTGAAATTCTATGAATTAAAGCGCATACAAAATAATGATACAACATTTATGTTATAAAACATTAAACTAATCAAACATAATGTGAATATTCGGAATACACATTTTATTGCGAATAACTCTCTGGTACATTAAAGTTTATCAACTTTAAAGTAGGCGAAATATTGAATCATCTGATGTATCTTCGAAATTCTGATTACAGAAATGCCTACACTATCGAGCGGGAGATTTTTTGTTTTTGGATGAAGTTTCATTCTTGAAATCAGTTGGTTTAATCATCGGCCTTTCAAATACCCTATTTCTATCTGAAGTTTGTTCTGATGATATTGTGCGGAAGAACAATGATAGCATCATGACTAAACAATTCAACTCAGAGAATGAAACTTTACTGAAAACATTATTGCCATTAATGTGATTTGGAATCTAAATAACATTCACTACATTTATTTGTTCAAGAGTCGCACATATAGCAGTCAGAATTTCACCAGTACCATGAAATAGCATTTTGTAAATCTAGTGATGAATGTTTTTTGTAATAAATGAAGGTTTTCGGGACTTCGGTCTATTCATTCCAATTGACTTTCTGTTGCAATATCACACTTCATAGTGGTAATTAGATAAAATTGTATTCTTTTAATCGACTAAATTGAATTCAACATTGAAGAATGAACAGGACACTACATGGATTTTTTTTATCGTAAAATGATCTGTTCTGTTCAGTTATTACGGTCTACCGAAACATATGTTTCAGTTTTAACTCCAGCTTGCTCGCTGAATCAATAAATCACATGGCGCTGATTGAATGTGGAAGATAAAATGACGTCTTCTTTCTTCTTCTATAATATAATCAAGTGGGTACGTATTACCATCAAAACCAATTCGTTCTGAGAAAGTGAAAAAAATCAACAATAAACTTGACTACTACCCCAGCTCACTTCAGTAATCTCTAGATACATTTAAAGAGTACAGTTGAGCTTTGACTGCAAAGAATTGTTGTGTAACAAAAAATACAACTCTTTATCTAATTTTCCAACGAATCCATCACTAAAATAACAAGTTGTGTTCAATAGTTATTACTAATTATCCTATCTATAGGATAAATCATTTGAAAAGATTATCCGGATGACATAGCAGAGGCTATACTAATCAATATACAATGTTGCTTCTTAATATAACCATTTATTATAATAACAACTACAAGTAAAAATCTGTTGGTCTAACAGTATAATTAACTACACACAATAGATCAAAAGTACAAATTGATAATCATAAGACGGGTGTACTAGTAGTAGTGATAAATATAATGGGATAACAAAAGTTCTGACCAATGTTTCATATCTTAATGGAGATCAGTCCCTTCTCCTACATATAGTGTAAGCTACAAGAAACCGAACCTATGACCTTAGTTTATGTATTCAAAAGAAATTTGCGACAACCGTGTCCTTCCCTTACCCGTACGTGGCTTACTGGATAGTTTTATCGTTTTGTTTTTTACTTGCTTATCACATTTCGTTTATATTCTTCACTTCTCATCACGTAATTTTAGTAATGGGTTGTGATCATTTAAATATATTTATTTAAGTTAGACCTACTACTTTCAATGTTGAAATACTGACTGACTAGAACTTTTACTATTTTGTCATACTTATTGGCTACTAATAGTACACCTGTATTATTAGTATCAATTTGTACTTTTGATCTATTGTGTGTAGTTATGCAGTCTATATGATTGTGACTGTTCACTGATAAATTACCTTGATTGCTTTAATATTTTCATCTATCCATAATAAATATTCATGTATATTCTAAACTGAAATTTGATGACGATCTGATTGAAAACACTATTCGTTCATTTGTATGTCGGTTATTCTTATTTTCATAATAGAAGTCTTAAATACTTTGGTTATTGCATATTATTATAATAATTTAATTTGCAACAATTCAACAGCTACTTCTATTTGACTATTTTTTCAATTATTCAGTATTATTTACACTTTTGTGTTCTTCATCATATCATTCTCCGCTTTTTTTTACTAACATGAACTGTTTCATTATAAGCGGAAATGATGGTGTCTAGCAGTGGAATCCAGAACGTGCTTTTCATCCTATTCGTGACTTGTCGGCTGAATGTACCAGCATTCCAGAGTTAATGTTCATTCCGGGACTTGAACCCGGTACAATTCGCTTCAAATGCCATCATCACATTGTCCACTTAGCTACTGAGTCCAGATAGCCATCATCTTGTTCAATAGGGTGAAGCTTAATTCATTTTTGCATTGATTATTTGAATCTTCTCATGTTAGTGTCTATCTGGACTCAGTAGCTAAGTGAATAACGCGATAACGTTTGAATACATCAATGAGATGATTAAGATAACCAATACAGTAATACATGAACTATCTCATTTTGAATGTGTACGTTTGTTTAGTTCATCTATCAGTTCTATTCATATTCATATAAAATCATTAATTTCTAAATGATTAATTCATATTATTTTGTTTCATTTATTTTCTTCAGGTATTCAATAGCTAACTATATAATAATAATAATAATCATCTTAAGTTGGAAATATGTAATCCCTTTTAACAACAAAATATCTTCTATTGGAGCTTCCTATCTATTCTACTCACTTTTCTTTCTTACAATCACCATTTATCAATTAATAAACAGTAATGATGAATAAACTAAATTTCATTCAAGTTTTATGATCTTTCATTTTTCAATGGTATATATATATATATATTCAATGTGTTCAATTCGATATTGTTTTACTGCATTTATTTATGTTGTTTTAATTGTTTATTATATTTCTTCTATTGTATTGTTTTGTATATTATATGATTATTATTTTATCAAATATTACTATTCACTTTATGTTTGCATTTATGTTGTGTAAGTGTGTGTGTGTGTTTTGCTTGTTTGTTTGTTTTCTTGTTTCATCGATTTATTTTTCATTCTGTTGTTAGTATTATGTAACCATTTGGTTTGAATGAATGGGAAACACTTGTCAATCATATACTACTTGTTTATTTATTTTAATCAGTAATCATTTTCATATTTTTCGATAATATAAGTTTGACTTGACTTCATTATGTTTGTGAATATTGTCTTATTATTTCTGTGTTTCCTTTTTTTTTTTAATCTTTTTTTTTCAATTTAGTTCATTTCTTAGTCTTTAATTGTTAGTGACGTGTTTATTTCCCTGTGAATGTATGAATATATTCAATTATATTTCGGTTCATCAGTTAAATATTCTATTTGAATGGTAATGTAACTAACGATCGTCTCGGACTTACTTAATATTAAAATTCAGTTTACCACAATGTTATAACATTATATAAGATGGATGCTATGGAATTTACTGACAAAATCATTACCATATACTTGAGAAAAAGATATTCAATGCCACTCAGTTATCGATTAGTACAATATATCTTTTCTTATGATTTAAACTGAAATATAGCGGTAATAGTCTTTCTGTTTATCATAGTGATTAATTTCATGGGTGAACAGAATAGTGTGTCTATCTGGCTGTGTATTTCACTTGTTGATTAGTATTAGCTGTGGTAATATTCAAACCAACACTACATATTCCATATATTGCAACCTAGAAACATTTAGTTAGTACATCTTAAGCTGGGTGATAATAAACACACTACCGAATAGTGATACAACATTTATGTCATAAAACACCAAAATAATCAAAAATAAAGTGAATATTCGGAATATACTTTATTACGAATGACTCTCTGGTACATTAAAGTTTATCAAAATATTAAATTTAGAATGTAGACTCATGATTAGTTCACAACTTCAACCTCTTTTGTTAAGTGGATGTCTAAATGGTGTTCAAAATGAAGGGTATTTCTCTAAATGAGAATATTTTGTCATATAGGTCATTTCATGTATGCAAAGGATCCTACTAATGTTGTGAGTTTGTTGCATATTGGCTGTTTAAGTCTTTTAGTGGTTGCCTTATCACATGAGTCATGGCGTATTCTGAATTTCTAATTTTCCCACAAAGAACTGGACTTTTACAAGAAAATTATTAAGGTCTTATCCTTAAAATCTAAAGGCGTATCACTTTTTCTCCCGTCACATTTTACTGCTAATCTTTATGTTCATTCGTTTTGACTCAAGGAAGTCGATAAATATTGCTAATAATCTGCAATAGGGATTGAATAAAACATTAAGCAAAGTGTATGGCAACTTTGTAACATTGCGGCCTGATCAATCGAATCCGTCTAACATAAAGACTACGACATGATACCGATTTTCACTCAGTGATTTATTAAAATATTTAAAACTCCAAAGTTTGTGAAATGTCACTGAGCCATAGCTAAATCATCCGGCAGTCGGGTGACTGGATGTCGAACAATTCGTTGGTCCATGTCAAAGTCGAGGTCAACCAACACGCATCAGTTAATCTCACGACTCGGACTAGCTAATGTGGTGGTGGTCGGGCTTTCGCTTGTACCTACTCTAACTAATATATTTATGTAATATCTTTTGTGTTATATGGTCCTCAAAGCAGCTCTAGTACCTTGATATGACGAAGGGGTAATCCACGTTAGGTGCTGACCATGAAGTATGACTTCGAAGTTAGCTGTTGGATACATGTTGTGGATGCAGAGGAATAGACCAATAATTATCATGTTAAGTTCAATGGTGTCCCTGGACTTTAAATGGATACTTTCTATTGGTCGATATCTGTTCACTTGTTGTATATTGTACAAAATGTTGTTTTCTATTTTATGGTACGATGTGGTGTGCTTGATTGGTATATAAACAAAGTATGTTTGAAATATAGTGATTCATAACTCAGAGGCTGTGGCTTGTCTTCTGGACTCAACTAACTGGGCTAGACAGGGAAGCAGAACCAATCAGAACTGTAGGCCGTTCGTTCGTGTTTACGTGTCACTGCAGTCGATCGATAAGTACGCTGCTCTCTAATTTTCCAGTCAAGGACACAACAATTAGCACAGGGTAAAAATCGACCTCAACATAAAGACATAACAATACACTATTCCTGTTTAACTCGAGTAGGCTCTCAATCATTCGACATAGATCATCTTCGCTGGTCATCCACATTACAAAAGCTTTAAGGTCTCTGTTGAAGTAAGAAGCATAACGGCAATATTTTTCACTGTATTATATTGAATAAGTTGTGTTATCACAAGTACGTGTCACTAAATATAGCTACCGAGACCTTTTTGACAACCAATAGATCGAAAGTGGAATGGCATGCCAGTCATTGCTAAGGCCTTTCAAAATATTAGCCTTATGAGCTCTTATCAGTTCCTTAGTTGTATTACACTGGCCTCAATGATGCGCTATTCTCTCATCACAACAGGCAATACAACAGTATGGATTATTTGGGTAACGCACCTGTAAAATATTTGCGTTTTCGAACAGCTTTACAATGTCTGAAAGTGGATGGGAGTCACATTGTCTCAATAAACTACCTTATTGAATCTTGTATTCCTTTGAGCTTTAGAAAGCCTCAAGAATTTTATTTTTCATATAAATTCATTTATTGTTCTATTGACTATACTAGAGATAGAAAAGGACCCGACTATCACTTTATAATCTCTTGAAGTAATGAATTACTGCCTTCTTTGACTTCAAAATAAATACAGGTGTCAGTAATTTCTATATTTCTGATTAACTAAATCGTGAATTGTAGAAGGAAGGTGTAGTACATACTCTCTGTTTAGATTTTTGGCTAATCTGTCATAACAAGGAACCGGCTGATATATATATATATATATATATATATATATATATATATAAATAAGTGGTTCACTTGATATTCAGCGTATGCTTCCAGTATAGTCAATCTTGACGTAGTTAGGTATATAGAAACACACAGTTATACATCCTGGCTAACATCTAGGATTTTTTTTGGTTGAGATCATGAATTAATTGATGTTAGACCACCGTTGGAAACCTGGAAGCACTGGACGACCGTTTCGTCCTAGTATGGGACTCCTCAGTACTGCGCATCCACGATCCCGCGCCCCGCGGGATTCGAACCCAGGACCTACTGGCTTCGCGCCTGAGCACTTAACCATTAGACCACTGAGCCGGCATCCAATGGTGTTAGTGTCTAACATCAACCAATCCAATCAATTAATTCATGATCTCAACCAAAAACTTAACAATCTCCACAACCCACATACTGATAATATCTAGGATCTCGACGTATTTCAGTTGTTCATACATATATCACCCAAATCCTGTCCCGGAATAAATGAAATACACTATTCAATCAAAAACCATGTTTAGGTAAAGTTTGTATGTCTTTTGAGGATAGCGTTTATGATAGTCGAGATTAGTGTCTGCAACTCCAGGTGTAGCGTCTGGAGTAACAGTGAGACACCTGAGAATCCTTAGATATATTTCAGGTTTTACTTCTGCAATACAACAACTTCTTTAAATACATATTTTTGATGCATTTCTTATATGACTTCACATCTAACTGTTCATCAAGTAATACTTAGTGCTGAAACATAACTCAGAATCGTGAATTTTTATGCTAAATGCAGACTCCATTAAGATGACGTAAGAGGTTCTCTCTTATACATCTTAATGTTAATATAAGTGGTAAGTTTGATTGGAATGTCAAGACATATCAACTGTTTGAAAAATCAAACATGTTGAGATTCGTTCTAGCAAGAAGCACCGTCGCGTGAAAACGATGCGTTTTGCACCTTAATACAAATGTTAAGACTTAATGTTACTGAAAAGAGACCAAGGATTCAAAAAAACGTAATCTACCTAACAGAAAGTATGGTCAGCACTTTTTTCGCAGCACTGGCTACGCATCATATATTACCAATTAATTACCGGTGAATTATTTTCTATCTCGTCTTTGGTGTGATTAAATTTAGTGTATGTTCATCAACGCCAAATTGCTCTTAAGGTAGGCTTTTATTTGACTTTTAAGTAGATAACTGCGAACCCATTGCTACTACTTATAAAAGGACTTCAGAATTTCTTCCTAAGTTACAAACTTCCTCAAGTTTGAATAACTGTCTAAATGCCTTAACGTTCCAGAAAAATTGTAGCTGTGACAGTTTTTATAATTTAACTGAATTGCCGTGTTTAATATTTAATCATTGTTGGGTTCACTGTAAGCCGACTTTTCATCACTTCGTTGAAAACATTTCTGAATAAACGCCTTAGCTAAGTGTATGAACGAGCAATCAGCCGGAAAGTGAATGAAGCATGCTGTTCACGAATTTCAAATCAAGAAAGTAGTATATTTCTAAGTATTTATTTGATCATGTGCCGCTGAAATTACCTGTAGTATATACGCACATAACTTGGCAATTCGCTTTTCAGAGGTCAATCTAACAAGTATTTAGAAAGTAGTCAGATTCAGATTTGTGTAGTAAGGACAGAAGGCCTACGGCCTATGTTAGTCCCTTTCTAGTATGCTTCTGTGAGTGTCCAGTCTTCTCTTGAAAGAGTCAATTGAAGGTGCGGACACCACTGCTTCAGGCAGCAGGTTCCAAGTATTGAGACTC